TTTTGCCAAAGGGAGGGGAAAAGTAACATTTTAAAGTAAGCCAAGAGCATTCTACACACACACAAAAAGATTATCCTACAAGGGAAAAGACTTCACCAAAGCCTTATCCAACTTGGCGAAAGGAAAATTTTCCACCTGTAGCCCTCCATATCCATCTTGGCTCACCTAAGAAGGGTATTAAAACTAAGAAGCACCTGACTGACACAGCTCAGAGGCCCAGGACTACTAAACTACAGACCCAGAAGATTCCAGATGCATCTCTTCTTCCAACACTACCTGAATAAGACTACTCTATAATAATGGTGGATTACACCTGGAAGAACTTCAAGACTAGGATTTCATGTATAAGGTCATTCTAGTTAAACCCAAAAAAACAGAGGAGATAGCCAAGACAACAGAGGAGATTTTATCCTTTCAGAGGTATAGCTAATGCAAACAGCAAGCAAAACCTAACTGCTGATAAAACCTCACACCAACATCTTATTTAGTCATCCTCTTTTATCCACAGTAGATACTCCCAAGATCAACAGTGAATAGCAGAAACCACAAGAAGTAACAAACCCTAATATATATATATATATATAATGAGATGAGATGCTGTTGGTGAATTATGTAGGCATTGTAATACAGCATTGGGCTACCTGACAGTACATTAGAAGGAGCATCTTAGGTTTTGAGTGATCATCAAACGTTCATGGTGTTGGGTGTGTAGTGTATATGGTGTGTATATGCTGGCCACAGGGATGATTCACATCCTAAGTAGGGCAGAGCAAGATGGTATGAAATTTCATTACACTACTTAGAACAGTACAAAATTCAAAATTTATAGGTTGTTTATTTCTAGAATTGTACAGTTAGTATTTTCAGACCATACTTGACCACTGGTAAATAAAACTACAGAAAGTAAAATCATAGATAAAGGGAAAACACTCTTCTTTAGTTTCAGAATCTATAATGTCTGACGTTCAAAAAAAAATGACAAGAAATGCTAAAAGACAAGAAAAAACACAATTTGGAGAGTTAAAGCAGCATGAAAACAAGAATCAGATAAGGTAGAGTTGTGGGAATTACAACACAAGGAATTTAAAATAATTACTATAGCAAAGATCTACTAGAAATAGTGGGAAAAATGCAACAACAGAGGGGTAATGCAACAGAAACATGAATATCCTAATAAAGACTGAGAAATGATGGAAATAAAAATACTACAGGAAAACAAGAATATAATTGATTAGTTTATCAGTAAATTGGACATAGTCCGGGACAAGAAAAATAACCTTGAAAAGAGGTGAATAGAAGCATCTCAATCTAAATTGCAAAGAGAAAAAAAAAACTTAAAAAAAACAAGCATTTTCAAGATCTTTGTGACAATGTCAAAATGTATAACACACTCAATGGGAATTCTAGAAGTTGAAGAAAGATGAAAAGAAACAGAGAGGGGTTGAGATTGTGGCTTAGTGGTGGAGCGCTTGTCTAGCATGTGCAAGGCCCTGGGTTCGATTCTCAGCACCACATAAAAATAAGTAAACAAAAATTAAGGTATTATGTCCAACTACTTCGAAAAAAATCAATATTTTTTTAAAAAAAGGAACAGAGAAAATATAAAACAATATTGACTGACGAGTTTTCTGGCATTAATGACAGACACCAAATCACAAATTATGAAAACCAGAAAAATCCAAAAAAATCTACACAGTAGGCAACTTCAGAAAACTAAAGACAATTTTAAAAAATGTTAAAATCCAGAGAAGGGGAACAAAACTTTATAATGAACCCAGGATGAGACTTGTATTGAACTTCTTGTCCAACCAAGAAGGTGCAGTGACAATTTACAATACCCAAACTGTGGAACCAACCTAGATGCCCTTCAACACATGAATGAATAAAGAAAATATGATAAAGATACACAATGGAATATTACTCAGCCTTAAAGAAGAATGAAATTATGGCATTTGCAGGTAAGCTGATTGGGCTAGAGTATATCACACTAAGCAAAATAAACCAATCCCCCAATATCAAAGTCCAAATGTTTTCTCTGATATGTGGATTCCATTCACAATAAGGAGATGGGGGCTAGGGAAGAATAGAGGCACTTTTCATTGGACAGAGGAAAGTGAAGGGAGGGAAGAGGGTATGGGTATATGAATGATAGTAGAATAAAGTACACATTATTACTCTATGTGCATATATGATTACACATCCAGTGTGATTCTACATTGGGTACAACAAAAACAGTGAGAAGTTGTACTCCATTGATGTATGATGTGACAAAATGCATTCTTCTGTCATGTGTAACTAATTAGAACAAAATTTAAAAGGCCATAAAAAAGAACAGAAAAGGAAAAATATAAGAAAGGTAAAGTGAAATATCTAAAATGCAAAAAAATCAATCAATATAATTATGAATATATTAAAAATAACTTTGAAAATGAAGGACAAATATTCATTGAAACATAATTTAAGAAAATTTGTTATAAATAGTTTTACATTCAAATTAATATTACCAAAACAACCATACTTCCAAAAGTACTATACAGATTTAATGCAATTTCAATCAAAATTCCAATGGCATTCCTCATAGAAATTGAAAAAGCAATCATTAAATTCATCTGGAAAAATAAGAGACCCAGAATAGCTAAAGCAATCCTTAGCAAGAAGAGTAAAGCAAGTGGCATCACTATACCAGACCTTAAACTACAGAGAAATAGTTGCAAAAACAGCATGGTATTGGCACCCAAACAGACTGGTAGACCAATGGTACAGAATAGAGGACACAGAGACTAACCCACAAAATTACAATTACAATATATTGGATATAGGTGCCAAGAACATATATTGCAGAAAAGATAGTCTCTTCAACAAATGGTACTGGGAAAACTGGAAATCCATATGCAACAAAATGAAATTAAACCCCTATCTCTCATCATGCATAAAACTCAACTCAAAATGGATCAAGGACTTAGGAATACAACCAGAGACTGTGTATCTAATAGAAGAAAAAATATGCCCTAATCTCCATCATGTAGGATTAGGCCCCAACTTCCTTAATAAGACTCCTGTGACATAAGAATTTAAATCAAGAATCAATAAATGGGATAGACTCAAACCAAAAAAAGTTTCTTCTCAGCAAAAGAAGCAATCTGCCAGGTGAATAGAGAGCCTACATCTTGGGAGCAAATTTTTACCTCTCGCACATCATATAGAATACTAATGTTTAGGATATATAAAGAACTTAAATAGTTAAACACCAAAAAAAGGAAAAACAAATAACCCAGTCAATAAATGGGCTAAGGACCTGAACAGACACTTCATAGATGATGATGTA